CAGCACCTTGTTCAGTTTTTTGCAAATAAAGACAGGTCCTGCTATGAACGAGGAATTATGAAGCTCACTGAAAGATGGCAAAAGGTTATCGAACAAAACGGGCAATATATCATTGATTGATCTTTGTTCTTTATATAAATGAATGACCTTTAAAAAACATAGACAAAATACGTCATGACTTTTCCGACAACCCAATACTACATTTCCTGATTGTTTTTAGGATTCTGGTGACTGTTGATGGGAAGAGTCCATGACTTGCCTGTGTCTTCCCACACACATGCCCTCCCAGTCAGTAGATCTCGTCTCAGTGAGCACCCTCAAGTGCTCACCCATCTGTAGCTTGCGTCTCTTTCACTCCCCTTGGCCCTTCAGTCCATAGGTGGGCAGGGGGGAGGGGAAGAAAGCTCAGCCTCTGCTTTTTCCCCCCTCACCCACTACCATCCTGCTGCCAGGAAACCCAGCAGAGTTGCCCATGTAGGATTTCCTTGGCCTTGTTAAACCAATCATCGGGTAGAGAGAAGATGGGAGGCTTTGTAGCAATTCTTGACCCCTCACCAGTTGCTGTGGTGACTTGCAGCCAGCACTTGATCTCTTTTTCAGTGTCTGAAATACCAGTTTGTTGTTCCTGTGGTGAGGGTTAAACGAGGCCACATTTGGGATATGGCTTTGAAGGGCCTCATCCAACACTCTTTCAGCACCCAAAGCCATCAATGTTTTGCCCCTGCTTGTTGGTCCATTTTGTTCCTTGGAAGATGCGTGGCCTGGGCTGCCTCCCCGAAAACACATACGAGTATTTCTGCCTTTCTCAGCATAGTCAGCAAGATGTTCTCATTCTTAATTTTGTGCTTTTTCCTTGAGTATGAGGCTTCTGGTGCTATTAACACTTTCGGGGCCCATGCTGTCTCGAGCCAAAGTCTCCCTCAAGAGCTGTTGGCAAAGCTGCTGCTTTTAGGCAAAAACATTTGAGGAACCAGTGGCTGCCCCCTTCTCCAGGTGCTTGGGCCTTCAGACCAGGGCGAAGGTGGGGAAGTGAGAAGGAATGCTTGCTATGAGTTTCAGTTTATTGCACAGAAAACAGATTTCCCCCCCTAAACCCTCTACCCCACACAAATGAATTTTTTTAAAAATAGAGAAAAAAATATTTTATCTTTGATGAAATTAGAGAACGGCATCAGAAGTTGAGCCAAACTATTGGGCTGTCGGAAAAGTCATGACGTATTTTTTCTATGTTTTTCGTTGCAAAAATGTGTCATGACTTTTCCGACAACCCAATAAAAGCATTAGGTGGAACTAAGAATTTTAATTGATCAAGGGATGATCTGTGATAATCACATGAGTTTCAGATTATATATACAGTATAATCTATTGAAAATGCAACGAGAAATCGACAGAATAGTATTGGGAGACCACAGACACATTTCCTCAGTCCTTGGCAGATAAAACGTCATGGTGTAAGAATGGAATCTAGGATCTAAAAATTAGAACAGTGATGGCAACAATTAGCATTTTGGCAGTGCTTACTGTGTGGTGGGCACCCTTCTAAACGTTTTTCATGTATTAACATGTTCAGTCCTTAAAACAACTGTATGAGATAGGGATACACTTATCTCCATACTCCAAATAAAAATACATGTGCAAAGGTCAACAAAATAATTAACATACTTTGCCTAAAAGGTA